CCCATCTACGCCAACGACTATCCCCGATGCCGATCGATACCTGAGCGGTGATGCTGAGGGCGGCGGGCTAAGTGAGAGCATGCCGGACCAGACCACCGATCGGACGGACACCAAGGATTTCAAGACGGAAAATCGGACTGACATCAAGGATATCGAGCCGAAAACGGGAAATCAAACCCAGATCCAACCCGATCAAGCCCAGATCAAACTCGATCCCGGCGAAGAACCCGAAGCAAAACTCCCGATCTGCCCGACTGAGGGCGTCGGACAACAAGATCCGCCGGCAGAAGCAGCTACAGCGACCACCCCACAGGATGCCGAGGACGAGGAGGAGATATACTGCCATGACAGTGGCGATCTCTCACATGAAGATCTTGAAGGAAACCTCGCTGTCCTCCCCGAAATCCCGATCTCGATGACCGCGAAGGTCAGCATCGAAGATCTGCAGGTGGGAGACTCGGGATCGGCCACACCCGAAGAGATCGAGAGGCTCCGGCAGATCATTAGGAAGAAACGACACCTCCTGATCGGAAAAGGGAACGCCTTACCCCCCGCGGCCAAGGGCGTCGTGTGTAACATCGATGTTGGAAATGCTAAACCGCTCGCACTGCGAACCCGGAAAGTGCCCACGCAATTTCGCGAGAAGGTCGCAGGTCTGATCAAGGGCCTCCTGGCCGCCGAGATAATCCGACCCTCGACATCGCCATGGGATCGTGATTGTTCGCAAGAGTAACGGTGTGGATATCAGGTTGTGCATTGATTACAAGTTGGTAAACAGCCTCATGAGATTGATGGTCTACCCTATGCCTCTGATCAGTGATCTGCTAGTAGATCTGGATAAAGCAGTATGGTACTGTTCGTTGGATATGGCTAGCGGCTTCTGGGCCGTGACCATGACGGATCGGGCTCGCGAGATCTCAGCATTTATCACCCCGTTTGGATTATTCGAATGGGGTCGCATGCCATTCGGTCTAAAGAATACCCCGCAGATTTATCAACGCCTCGTAGACAACGCTTTGTATGGATTTTTGAAGATCTCGCCATGAGGCGACGCTGGGGCTACAACGGACGTGTTCCAGACAGGGATCGCGGACGATCCTGATCGCGAATCAGTGTTGGGACGGAGATCATATATCGTCGATATCAAGATCGCAGCGGAATCGTGGGAATCAAATGTGCCGAAGAGTGGAAGATCTGTTGGAAGCTTGTGATAAGTGGAATTTGTCGATCAGTGTAGCCAAGAGCTTTTGGGGCATGTATAAGGTAGGATATCTGGGACACCGAGTGTCGATCGGAGGTTTGGAGGCGAGCCCGAAAGACCTGAGATCGTTGACCGATCTGCCATTCATCGGATCACTGCGATCTATGCAGTCGTTCCTGGGCAGTCTGAATTATTACAGCCGATTCATCGAAGATTACGCTATCTATGTCTCGGTACTCTACGAATTACGTGAAGTGGAGTTTGCAGAACTGGAGAAACGATCGGATCTGAGGAAGATCTTGGACAGGAATGACCCAATCCCTCGAGATCACGACCAACCGGAACTGAAGTTGACGGGACCAGTGGAAGAGAGGTGGATCAGGGCCTTCGTCGCCTTGAAAACCAAGATCGCGACGACCCCAGTCCTCCGCCATTTCGACGAGGCAAGAACGCCGGTAGTTATCGTATATACCAGTGATTGGGCGATATCCGCTTCGTTGACACAAGAACACGACGGGATCTATCATCCGGTGGCGTTCGCCAGTCGCACCTTGAAGACGAACGAGTTGAATTACAATGTGACTGAGAAACAGGTGTTGGCACTGCTGAGGATCTAGGATCTCTATTTCAATTTGCTAGTAGGACGCGAAATCCGGGTCCTGACGAAGCATTCCACGTTGGCCTGGCTGTTCATGTCGACGGGGTTACAAGGTCGCCTGGGACAATGGTCTGCCCTTCTTGCCGAAGTGCACGAAGGGTGAGGATGAGATACAGGGGGCGATCGCTGCTAGCATCACGCCGAGGGCGAAGATCGACGACGCTCTGACCGAAATCGCCCCAGGAAGGAACCTAAACGCCGGATCCAAGCGCCGATGCCCACTGTAGATAGAGACGAGGAACTATGGGTGATCAATTTTGACGGATCCGCTCGAGTTAAGCGCGGTGGGGCGCGTTCAGTGCGATCGGGTGGAGTCTGCCCGGATGGGAGGTGGTCAAGGCCAGATCAGGCTATCTCGAGAGCCTCACCGTGAACGAAGCAGAATATAACGGCCTGACCCTGGGGCTAGACATGAGAGAGGACCTAGATCGCAGACGCCTGGTGGTTTGCGGTGATTCCAACTTAGTGATTCGACACGTACGGGGTGAGATCGATTGCAAAGCACCAGGACTGACGCTATTGAAGCGGAAAGCCCTTGATCGCCTGAGGAAATGGAGTGATCATGAGTTGGTGCACGTCAAGAG